TAGGAAATCCATTTTACTTTTTTTGTTGTGTTTTTGCCTCTGCCTTGGTGTCATATCCAAGAAATCTGCCAAATCTAATGTCATGAAGGTTTTGCTCTGTTTTATTTTAATAGTTTTATAGTTTTAGGTCTTTGATCCATTGTGAGTTAATTTTTTTAAATAGTGTTGGGCAAGGGTCCAGTTTCATTCTTTTGTATATGGATACCTGGTTTTCCCAGCCTCATTTGGCACCCTTGTCAAAGATTTTTAGACTGTATGTGGAAGGATTTATTTTTGGACTCTCTATTCTATACCATTGGTCAGGTATATCTATCTTTATGCCAGTACCACAGTGTTTTGATTACTGTAGCTTTGTAGTAAGTTTTGAAATCAGAAAGTTTGAGTCCTCCTGCTTTGTTCTTTTTCAGGATTGTTTTGGCTGTTCTGGGTCCCTTGCAGTTCCATATGAATTTTAGAATCAGGTTGTCAATTTCTACAAAGAACTCTGCCGGAATTCCAAAAGGCATTGTGTTAAATCTGTAGATCATTCTAGGGAATATTGCCATCTTAACAATGTTAAGTCTTCAGATCCATGGGCATGAAATGATTTTCTGTTTATTTAAATCTTTAATTTCTTTCAACAATGCTCTATAGTTTACAGAGTATGAGTTTTGCACTTTTGTTAAATTTACTCTTAAGTATTTTATCCTTTTCAGTGCTATTGTGAATGGAATTATTTTCTTGATTTCATTTTCAGATTGTTCATTGCTAGTGTATAGAAGTATGATTGATTATTGTACATTAATCTTCTATCCTGCAATCTTGCTGAACTTGTTTATTGGTTCAGTTTTTTAGTGGAGTCCTCAGGATTTTCTAAATACAAATGTATGAATAAAGACAAGTCTACTTCTTTTCTTTCCAATCTGAATGCCTTTTTTTTTCTTGACTTATTGTCCCAGCTAGACCCTCTAGTAGAAATGTTGAATAAAATGGTGAGAGCAGACATCCTTATCTTGTTCCCAATCTTAGGGGAAAATTATGTGCTAGATGTAGTAATATTCACTACTAAGTATAATAGTAGCTGTGGGTTTATACTCTCTGCTCTAAATCTTGATCTTTTTGCATATGATTCCATATTAGTACCTATTGAGAACTTTTACTTTCTGTAAAAGTGACATAATATTCCATTGTATGAATATACCAAAAAAATTTTAGTCAGACTTTTGATAGATATTTCGATGGCTTTTTTGCTTACAAACCATGCTGTAATATGCAGTCTAGCTATGTGTTATTTTACACATGTATATATATCTTTAGGATAAATCTTTAAAGAATCATTGTAATTTTGGTAGATATAGTCAAGTTGCTCCTTAGTGTGTTCCTACAGAAAAAATTATGCAAAAGTGCCTGTCTTCTGCCATATTCTCACCAACATGGTATGTTATTGGAATTGTTATCCTTGTCAATCTCATAAAGAAAAAAAATGAGTATTTCATTATAGTTTTAGTTTGTACTCTTATCATAAAGGAGGTTGTGTATCTTTTCATATATTTAAGAGTATTTGAGTTTCTTTTTCTGTGAATTTTTTTGTTCATATTCTTTGCCTATTTCTCTTAATGTGTTGTTGATTTTTTTTCATTATTGGTTTGTAGAAGTCTTTGGTATATAAGGAAATCAGCCTTTTGTGTGTAATGTGATTTGTAAGTATTTTGACCCTAGTTTGTCATCTCTATTTTGACTTTGCTGATTTTTGATGAGAAGAAATTTTAAATGTTCGATGTAGTTTATTCGGACTTTTTGTTTGTTTGTTTAATTTATAGCTTCCAGATTTGACAGCATAGTTAGATCTTTTTCCATTCAAAGATTATAAAAAGATTTTTTTATGTTTTCTCCGAGTACTATTAAAGCCAAGCTTTAACAAATTTTTTTCCTTTTAAAAAGTATAAGATTCCCATATTTAGTTTTTTTGACATCTGTGTGGTTCTCCTAATTCTGTCGTCTCTGAGAGTCACTCAGCTCCCTGAGTACCTTGAGATATAGTTTCTCTAATCTAAGAATTTGACCTTTTTTGGTTAACTAGATGACAATTCAATTAGAGAATTCAATTCTAATTTAGTTATGCTTATTTCCCTTTTTTTCATCAGAACAAATGTCATCCTTTTTAATGTCATGTATGCAAAAGCAAAATAAAAATTGAGTTCTCCATTCTCTCTAGTCAGTTTTCAATATTTCCTTTGTCTTTTTTATTTTGGTTTGCTTAGTTAAATTCAAGTTGGTACTTGCCTCTTGAAAGCTACTAAATAAATTCGGACTTTAACGTGAATAGAGGTCCCTACTTTTTTCACATAATCCTGGAGCTTAAAAAGTTACATATTAACAAATAAGGACCTGCATCTACTTTCTTGGAAGAACCAAAACTGATCTTGATTGAACCCAACTGATTTCAGAAATTGATTTTCTGTTTTAATGTAATTACAGCTGCCGTTTCACTAAAAAAATTTTTTTTTCCCTCAGACAATTTCTATATTGTGTGGTGAGAATTTTTCCTACCGTAGAACCAATCTGTAGAGTTAATGTCCTAAAACCTTTAGGTATGTTTGTGTTTTATAGCATAATGCTGCCCTCCACTTGACTGCTTCTTTCTCTCTTGGCATTATTCTTTTAGTCTTTCCAACATTCCCTCCTGTCCTCACCCAGTTTGGGAGCACTAAAACAGATGAACATAGAAAGGAGGGAAACTGTATTAGAGTTTTCATGTCAGTGACCATTTCTCTTCCTTTACTTGTCCCAGAGACATGAATTGAATCAACGTCTATCAGTATCTAAAGTATTGTCACCATATATCATGTAACATAGGATGTTGTAGAAGATATATTGGCCTAGTATCTGGAACTTATAAGCCAGTCATTATCTGTTTTCCTGGAGAAACAGGTGATCTTTATAGCTCATACTCTGAGCAGATGGTTAAAGGTTGGAAGGGTGGGTGGTATTCTGAGCCATAGGAGTATAACAACACATCTAGACTGGAAGAGCCATGCTAAGAAGCAACAACTCAGCTAGCAGTGAATAAGAGTATATCTTACACATTGAAATGAGTGAGAACAATGCATAATATTTTAGATAAAATAACTAACTGCAAGATGATGTTAGAGTACCTGTTGTATACTGATAAAGCTGAATGCAAGCTTTATTAGGTCAGAGCTCAAGCCTTAATGTTGGACTACCTGACTTTGCCACTTACCAGTAGTATGAACTCAAATAAATCACTTTATCTCATTTTGCATCATCAGTGTCTATGTCTGTAAGGTGAGGATAATAATAACATACCTACTACCTTTGCTCAATACATACACCGCAGACTCTCTCTCATCCTGCACTGAGAGTATAGTTCCTGGCATAAAACAGAAGACCCCAATGAATGTTAAAGATCTTTTCTTCATTTTTTTTAAGCTTTATAATACTACCGTAAGAGTATTAAGAGTTTTGCAAGGTTAATGATGCTAAATTAGATATTTGTTAACAACAAATATTTGTATGAAAACAATTAGCAATTCTAGCTTGTTTTGTAAGAGTTAAATAATTGTGTACATATTTTCGTTTTTTTTTTCCAATAGTGATAATCATTCCATGATATCATGTTGAGTGTCCTCATCATACTATCTTTGTCAGGCTTGTGTAATACTTTAAGAAAATTACAAATTTACCTGTTCTCATTCTTTGTGGCATTCTCTAGTCTTCCTAATTTTTTTCTTGTCTAAATCTAATAGAAACTTGTTCCTCTGTTTAAATTACATTTGGTCTTTTGACATTTTTGTTTCATAACAATTATAATTTCTTCTTTATCAGTTTATTTCATGACTTAAAACTTCTTCCGAAGTGTTTCTTTAAAATGTTGCTAATATATAGCCCCCCTCTTCCACTTAAAAACTTACTTCATTCTTTTGAATTACCTGGAAAATATACTTAATTGAAAAAAATGCATTTTTAAAATTAGAAGGTGTATTTGAATTCTGAAGGATCCATCCTATGTGATAGAAATAACATTTAAAATATTATAGATATCAGATAAAGTTTAATTGATACTGTTGCCACTTGAGATTTGGATTTTTTCTTCACTTACAGAACTGAATCTTAAAATACTAAGTGTGTTATTTGTCATCTTACATGGTTTCGTATATAAATTAAATCTTTATAATTATGCTTTGCCTGTCTTCAAAATCAGACAGCAAGCGTTTATAAGAAAAACACTTAAAAGATGGAGACTGCTTAGTGTTCATTCTAAGTTTGAATTTAAAACTCCGCTTTACTCCCACTATTAAAGGATAATTAGGACTACTTATTTCCTGTGGCAGTGTGATTCATGGTTCATTTTCTGTGGAAAAGATTGCCAGATTATGTTTTAAGCTTTTTTTTTTTTTTTTTTTTGAGACAGGAGTGGATCATTCCCCTAGTGAAATCTTATGGTCCTTCAAGATTCAGTTCAAGAGCTGCCTTTCCTGAATTGACCTTTTTTGCTGATTTTCAAAATTGGGAAATGGTAGCTTTAGGATTATGGGGTTCTCAAAATGATTTTCATTATTTTTTAATGGTAATCCATATAATGATTATGTTCCTATTTTTATTTTTATTGTGCTTCATCATTTATTTTAATAAAGCATAAAGAGTATCATTTAGAGTTTGAGCCTAGACTAGAAAGTCATTAGGAAAGTCTATTAGGTTAGAAACATGTTACATATTTTAGAGTATCATTGGCCTATTCAGTTTTTTCATGGCTTAGTCGTAAACATGAGTTTTCCATTACTTTTAGGGTAGGAATAAAGGCCAAGATTTATTATATTGTATGATAACATTTACTGTGAAATCTGTTACCTCTGATTGAAATACTAGATTTGGTTTCACTGAATCAAACCTTCAAGTAGTATCTTCTAAAACTTTATAGAAAGGAAACAAATCAAGAAGAAAACCACAGTCAGGAGCAAAACAGTGTGTGTTATTACTTTTATATATTGTTACCTTTTCAGGCTCATGAGAGACTAGAAGATTCAAAACTAGAAGCTGTCAGTGACAATAACTTGGAATTAGTCAATGAAATTCTTGAAGATATCACTCCTCTAATAAATGTGGATGAAAATGTGGCAGAACTGGTTGCTATACTCAAAGAGCCTCACTTCCAGGTAAACTTTTCCTATCATTCTTTCAAGTCCCCTCTATATTCCCAAAATATTCTCCCTTAGTAGTTAAGTTCCAGTTTAAGGTGATATTTTTTGAAGATTATTTAGGGCCATACTTTATAAATTCCAGCTTAGATATGTTAATATCTTAATATGGTGGGACTGCATAAACAGACACACGTACTACACAGATGTAGTGTCTGCCATAGGAATATATCAGAACAGATTCTTCTTTGCGTAATTTAAAAAAACCAATCCAAACAAACCTACTTCATCAGACCACATACTAGAGATGTTTTTCTCTCTGTGAAGTTTTCTTCCTCACTACCACTGTTTCCCAGCCCTCCTTTTGACCAATTGTATACATTTTCAGTATTGCTTCTAAGACTGGGGTGCAGTTGGTGACCTTGGAACAAAAGAGAGCTACATGAGGATAGAAACTATGACAAAACATACTTCCCATAGGTACAAAAATAAGTGCAATTTAAGCATTTGTCTATATAGGTGAAAAGTTAATCATTTTATTGAAAAATAATTAGTTTCAGAAGAGAAAGAGAAGTGGAGGAGATTTCTTCTAAACCTATAACTAAGTGTGGTATTGGGGCAGTATGAGAAAAATAGATTACTTAAAGAGAATAGAAACCTCAGAAATACATCCATACACAAATGGCAGCTTGATTTATGACTGAAATATTTTAGCGGAGAGAGAATGGACTGTTCAATAAATGGTCCTGGGATAGAAGAATAAAGCGTCACCAGCTTGCAACTGCAATCTTAGCATTAAAAATCAAAAAAACTTTCTGTGACTCTCTAGCAGTGTTAACCTGCAGAATATGTAGATTTATAGTAAGGTGGTTCCTACATAAACATGAATCTTAGGTACAAAAATATGGACATGTGTCAGAGACACCTTTGTGCAGAGGCCAGTTAACTGAACCCTCATAAGGCACACTAAGATAATTTGGACTTTATCCCAAGGACATTGGAAAAACCTTGGGTAGGGTATGGAGACAGGTTATTAAACAGGGAGAGGTCAGATTGTGGAGCTAGATGATTGAGTACCAAGGCAAAAAATTGTGATGGCAGTATATACATAGTGGGAAATGTGAGGATTTTCAAGTTTTAAGCAGTAAAATCAACAGGACTTGGTGGTTACATGTGATAGCTGCAGAAGAGAAATGTGGAGAGTTGATTAGGTCAGGATTTCTGACAAACAATTGATGACACCTACTGAGATAAGGAACACTCTAGGAGAACTGTTTTGGACATGTTAATGTTAAGATAACTGGCCATTTTAAGTTTGTGCATCAGATAGAGCTTTTGTAGCATGCTATATTTTTTTCTATAAGTATATAACATTTAATGCATTAATTTATATAAAGGTTAATATATATAATTAGAAAATAGGAAGTAAAAATAAGGTATTAAGACATTGCATTTTTACTACCTAAATCACTACTGTACTAGCATAGCATGTATTCTTCCATATTTTTCCTAGGCATAAATATACAGATTTTTTTTCTTTGCTGATTGAGATCATTTTGCATGAGCTATTTTGTAATTTGCTTTTTTTTTTTCAGTCGTTGATTTCCACCTTTCCATTTCAGTGGACCTCTGTCTCATATAGTATACATTCTGTATTCATATATCTTCATTTGACACCAAAGTATTCTTTACAGCTGGTTTGTAGATAAGAGTTTTCAACCTAGGTCCATGTGGCTTCTGATTGGACCATCCCTTTCTCCCTTGATGATGATGTTGACCTGTTGAAGAGAGCAGGCCATTGTCCTACAGAATCCATTCCCTGTATTTATTTGGTTGCTTCCCTGCTGTGTTGTTTTGTTATCGCTTCTATTTCTTATAAACAGAAGTTTTACCTAAAAGGTTGATGATTCAAGTTAATTATTTGGAACTAGAATGTGATACAACATGAACTAGTCTACATCAGAAGATGTATAACACCTGGTTGGCCCACAACTATTGATGCTGAGATTGGTCCCTTAATTAAGGAAGGACAATGACAGCCTAATCCTACCATTGAAAACCTTTCCACTAGGAAATAATCTAGTTTGTTATTATTCTGGCATTATACAAATGCTGTTTCCTTTCAACCATTTACCAGCTGATCAACACAAATTAATAATCCTTGCCTGAATCAGTATTTTCATTAGAGGTTACAAGATGACATTTTTCAAATTCTCTCATTCTGTATTTATTAGCTGGTGTTCTTATTTAAAGTAGAGCTTTTCCTCATTGGCTGGGTTGTTTAGTTAACCTATATTGCTTTCCTACTGAAAAGTCAGGGAAATGCTGGATCCTTCCTTTTACCAATTTTCAAAGTAAAGAATTGTTTAAAATAGCAGTCTCAATGGTAACAAATGAGTTTTTCCAGTCCAATTTTTTAAATAGCATTGTGGACTTAGAGATTTTTCATTAACTCAGTGTGCTTGGTCCGCTACAATCCTTAGCTTTTTTCAGTTTTTCAGATTATCATGACTTTGGCCACTGTTGTAGATTTTTAGTATATGAAGCTGAAGTTCATGAGAGTTCTGGACCAAAGATATAAAACTGGAGCTCTCAATGTATAAGTAGTGGTTCAAGTCGCAGGGGTGGGTAATATTGCCTAAAGAAGAGTGTATAGGGTAAAAACTAAGCAGCCCAGCTTAGTGATTTGAGTAACTTCCAGCATCTATAGGAATAATCATTATATATGGATTTGTGAATTTTTTTCTTTTTGAAACTTTCTTGTCTAAGAAAAAAAAGTTCTATTTTTATGAAATGACCAGAAATTACCAATTAAGCTGATGGCTTCTATTCTGAACCTGTTAACATTTGCTCCCTTCTTTCTGTTTTGATCTATTGATTTTGAACTTGCATTCCCACACTCAAAAACTTAGCTTTATGTCTGTTTGCATTACACAATTACAGCACAAATTATGTATACACACACACACACACACACACACACACCCTCAAATTCTAAGTAATTCCTAGAAAGCTAGATCAAAGTCATCCATGATGATAGCACATATACAGTAAATGTAGGAGGTAAAAGTATATTCAGGACCATTACTAGCTCTTTCTCCCCCAAAAATGTAAATTTTATTCCCTTATTGGTAATACGGAATTTCCCATCACTGACAAAAGATGCTGATGTTTATTCATTGGACATCTTTTTAACAGACATTTTGTACACGTGGAAAATATGTTATTGCTAACAACAGGTTTAGAATAAAAATTAGTCTTGGTATTTGAATTCGTCTGATAACTAATAAATAGGAATTGGTAAGTATTGAATGATGATGATGGTGATGACAGTGGTGGCAATGAAGTTCAGTCTTCCACTGCATCATACTTGGAAATCTAGGTTCAGTTTCCACTGAACATGAGACTTTTAAAAAGTCACAGAACTATCAGTCTCTTCAAATCTTTTAAAACAAGGAATACGATATTGTTTGATAACAAGTAAAACTGTATATGTTTATATTTCTTAAAAATATTCTGCATACATTTGATGTAACTCATATTTGGGAATTTAATAATGTGTGTCTTGGAAATTTTTACTACTCTGCCTGGGATAATGAACTAAGTTATTTTTAATAGTTTGTTCCATCTGTAATTAGTAACCACAGGCTGTTTGAATCCTTCTAGTCACTTTTGGAGGCCCATGATATTGTGGCATCAAAGTGTTATGATTCTCCTCCATCAAGCCCGGAAATGAATAATTCTTCAATCAATAATCAGTTATTACCAGTAGATGCCATTCGTATTCTTGGTATTCATAAAAGAGCTGGGGAACCATTGGTGAGTTGATAAGTCAGTGCCTTCTTAAATCTGAAATCTGATGTACTTGTGGCCAAGACACTACTCTGTCTCATTTTTTTCTCTTTCGTAATTTGTATCATTATGAAACCTTATTCATGTTTGTTTTATCAGTCTTCTTTGGCCTTTGTGTAAAATACACAGGTGATGCTCTCTCATTTGACTTAGCATACAAAATTAAACCAAAATTTTAAGTTAAATTGAAATAGAGGCAAGAAGTTTGCCAATAAGTAGCAAAAATTTTAGGAGATAACTGCTTTCTTTTTTTCCTATGCTCTTTGAAGAAATAAACTGAAGTTTCTTGCCAATTATAGTATCAAAACACAGAAGAAACTTGTTATTAAAAATTAAAGACATGGTAGGACTCTGTAAGTAAGGACGTTTACAATTTCCTGCAGACATTAATATTTCTGGGCTCTGAATGTAAAAACAGTGACATGGAAAAAAAGAAAAGCCAAGAACACCACCATCAGAATGCAGAAGTACTTTTTCTTGCTCCTTTGAGCTTCCTTTTATCCTGTGGGATGCAGCCTAAGATATGTTTCGTTTTCAAGGTTAACCTTGCCATAGAGGTCCTTTTTTAAAGGATAGCATGTGTTATCACAGTTGCACATGGTTTAATGTGATTGGAGTATTGAGTCAGGAGAGAACATGGGAAAAGTAGGAATAATTCATTCTCCTACTTTTAGAATTATTTTCTTATATATAAATATTCATGAGAATTTTAAGATTTCTTCCTAATAACCTAAAATCTGTCATTCTGTTCCTCATTTCCTTTAGGGTGTAACGTTTAGGGTTGAAAATAATGATTTGGTAATCGCCCGAATCCTTCATGGAGGGATGATAGATCGGCAAGGTCTGCTTCATGTGGGAGATATCATTAAAGAAGTCAATGGCCATGAGGTTGGAAACAATCCAAAGGAATTACAAGAATTACTGAAAAATATTAGTGGAAGTGTCACCCTAAAAATTTTACCGAGCTATAGGGATACCATTATTCCTCAACAGGTTAGTAATAAAATTCTTGCTAATATTAAGAATACTTTTACTTCTTTAATCACACTGTTGGGTATAACTACTGGTTTCTACTTTTTTGCTAAAGAAAAAAGAAAAAAACTACCTGATCTAATTGTTCTGAAGTACCTTATTTTGTCATAGGTGAATTTTTTGATTTTTAAACAATTAATACAATCTTACTGCTCAAAAGGAATTAGTAAAGAAATCTCTTTGTGAACGCCATGAACCCTGGCATTTCAGTAACGTACAGCTAGGTATGAAAAAAACCATAAAGGCCTTTAGTTGTTAATCTAAGAAACATCTTTGGTGCCTGTTATGTTCCATGCCCTGTGAGAAAATAAGCATGTCGTACTGATCACCCCTCACTTGGTGTTCCTATGATAGGCTAAATAGAGAATGAGGCCAAAAAGAGAGGATGGGTCCAGACTGAAAAGAATCTTGAACACCTGGTCTGCACACATTTGATCTGCGTTTTGTAACTCATTTTTAGGTAAAATGGATTATTGAACACGGGCATATTTTAATGACAGTGATCATCTAACTTCATTATGTTGAGTGAATTTCAAAAAGAAGAGAGGTTAGATCATGTAAACAGGAAGCAGATTTTGGAAGGTGTGAGGTAATTTGGGAAAGACAACTCTAATGAAAGGCTATGAGGAGGCTTGGTTCAGAGACTCTTGCCGCCACCTACTAGCTTATCCTTCCTGTTCTGCTTTTTCTCATCTACACAGTTAGGGGTATTTCTTTTCTCAAAAGGTTGTTGGTAAGGATCCAGTAAGTTAATTCGTGTACAGCTCTCATAGCAGTACCTGGAGCATCCTGAGTGCTCAGCGGGTAGCTGCTGCAGTTGTTGTGATGGTGCTGATGAAGTTGTGTCGTAGTTGTAAAGAAAGAAAAGGAAATAAAGTAATTGCAAAGGAACAGTGGGCAAGTGTGGCAGCGGTGTGTTGAAACTAAGAAGAGGGTTTTCCGATCTAGATAATGTAGAAAGAAGAAATACTTATCAGTGTTTTAGATGCCTTTAATTATTCAGGTTTATTCCAGAAATGTATTGTTTCACATGTGAGTGAAATTACAAGTTTCTTATATAAGATACTGCCAGTATCTCTTACTTTAATACTGTTAATATGAGAATTTAAAAGACTAGTTTTTATATTTCTATACAGTTCTTTGAAATAACATGTGTTGAATACCTGCTCTATATTGTTTTTTAGAGGATAAGAATAGTCAGTCATGAATTTTAGTATGTAAATTGGATTCCTGAAAATACATAGGCTTTTAATGAACTTTGGTTGAAATGAAGGGTAGAGATCTTGTCTTCAAGGAGAAGAAATGATATTAGAAATTAGACATTTTAAATTGCTAGTACCTCTCAAACTACCTTTGTTCTTCAGTTGGCACCTAAGTAGATTGGAAAAGTAGAACTTTTTTTTCTAATTACATGTTAGTTGTGACAGCGTTTTTAGTTTTGTTTTTTTCCTGCGCCCCCCAACCCCACCCCGTGGTTCAAACTCCATAGTTACTACCGACTCACTATGGCTATAATGAACTTTTACAGGAGAAATAATTTTTTGTAATACCAACAGCTAGTACTTTGCCAAATTCCTTTGTAGATTCTGCACCTGACAAACCGTCTGAATGATGTGAAACGCAAGGATATTTAGCCCTTTCGTGGGCATACATTTTTCCATGTCCTGTGCCTTCTCAAACTGTGCTTTTTATTTAGCCTTTAGAACTGGGTGAGGGCATTGAAATGGGGAAGGAGGGGTCATCCAAGCCTGAGGCGGTCTCAGGCTCATCCATGAAAAAGAAGAGACTAACATGAAGGCTTCCAACAAGAGAGCTAAAACATATCCACACTGGGACATTCTCAAAGTGAAAGGGGCAGATACTTACCTGGTAGGGAGATACCATGATCACAAAGGTGGTTTTCCCAGGGCGAGGCTTATCCATTGCACTCCGGATGTGCTGACCCCTGCGATTTCCCCAAATGTGGGAAACTCGACTGCATAATTGGTGGTAGTGGGGGACTGCGTTCGCGCTCTCCCCTGGTTTTCGAGGTTTCAAAAACAGCTTTGTCTCATTTATAACATTTTTGTTTGAGGCCTGCATATATAATTCATAGCTTGTTTTCGCCTGTTTTAAAAATGTTTAAGTTTTTTTCTATCCGTGTTTTCAGTAGTATTGGTCAAAGTGAAAGGGGCAACGATTGCTAATTATGCTGGAACAGTAGGGCTGTGCTGGGCACACTGTGGTCCTCTAATGGGAAGCAAGGGCTTTTAGCCTCTTCAGCTCTGCCACTCTCACTCCCTGGAAGCTCCACCATGTTGTCCTGGTGGGCCTGTCGCAACTCTTTCTCTTACTGCCTCGAGAGCAGATGGAAGCCAGGAGCTCTCCATTCCAGGGTGATGTTTTTCAAAGCATGATCAGTAGCACCTCTATCAGCATCATTTGAGGTGCTTACTAAAAATCCAAAATCTTTCTTGAGACCTAAGAATCTAAATTTTTAAATTTAAAGACCAAATTGGGTTAGAAATTGCAGCTGATTCTGAAGGTCTTCAATTTACGTGTATATTGGGTCCCCGCAGGCTGTTTAAAATTCTTTTTGTTTATTTAAGGCAAAAATGATTGGAATTCTCTTACTCGTTCTTTGAGGCCATTACAATGCAAATATCAAAAATATTATGAAAAGAAATTATAGTTTTGTTTCACTCAAGGGTATACGTGTAAGAATTCTCAACAAAATATTAGCAAATGAAACTTAATGGTACATAAAAAGATAATACAGCATGTCCAAGTTGGATTTATCCCAAGTATGCTATGAGATTTTGTATTAGAAAATCCATGTATGTAACCAAACATATTAGCAGATTAACAGATTAAAGGAGAAAAATATCAGAAAAATTTGATAAAATGTAATACCTATTCATGATTTTTTTTTGAAAGATTAGTAAATCAGGAACAGGAAAGAACTTCAATTTATTTAAAAAAAAACAAAACTAGAACAAACGTTATTCTCAGTAGTTGACTGTTAGAAGCACTCTTTAAAATCAGGAACTGGACTCTCAGCTGGTCTGCCTGAGACTATTTGAGTGCCAGGTCCAGTCCCCTATGAAGCCCCATTTCCTCTCCAACAAGATGAAAAAAACCCCACCAGAAACCAGGAGAAACTTGGCAAACTTCAGGCATAATTGTGCTTTGGTTAAAAAGAAGCCACCTTCAGATGATTTATAGAGTAACAGAGGATATAACAAATATGTTATAACAGATGATAAAAAATCGTCAGTTCTCCTTAAAGAAACTAGGAATAAACAATATCTCTGATGTTAAAGAGGTAAGTATGTTTGCAAACTAGGGAGTGATGATCCACTTCAGCAGTGCTAACGTTCAGACATCTCTGGCAGCAAGCACTTTCACCATTACCATCTGTGCTAAGACAAAGCCTGTGACAGAAAGGCCACTCAAATCTTAGGCCAGCTTGATGTCAACAGGCTTTCAAGACATTGGCAGAAGCTGGATGAAAAAGCACCACTATTTTTATTGGGGTGGAGGGTGATCTTGTTCAGAATTTTGATGAGACTTCCAACAGTGAGGCAAACAAAATTGACTCCACTTCTTTTTTAAAAAATAATAAAACTTCAAGAATTTTGACTCCTTTAAAAAATTTTGTTGATGTAGTGAAATTTAGAAACCTGTAGTATTTTAAATTTTGAGGCCCTTGGACACTGCTGCTTTTTAAATTACTTATTTCTACACAATTTTTTGTTTACAGTTCATTAAGCCAAAGAAGCCAGAACATCAAGTTTGAAATAAGGATTAATAGTCATTGCCTAATTAAAGAAATTAAGAACTAGAGAAGGATGTTCATTGGCTCCACTTCTATTCAGTATTTTATGGAATGTTCCATAAGCACAGGAAGACAAAAATAATTATGGAAGATAACATTTGGAAAGGAGAAAATAAAACATTATTTTCAAATAATAAGATTTTTTAATTGAAGCTCTCCCCAAACTATAAATTATTAGAAATAATTTAGTAAGGTACTTGAAAATAAGATTAATATACAAAAGTCAGTTTCATTTCTGTATGCCACCAGCAAACATCTAGAAATATAACTAAGACAGCATTTATAATAGAGACAGAGAATGTCACATTTATGTCTGGGAATAAACCTAACAAAAATATTCAAGACCTCCATGCACAAAAATTATGAAAATCTAAATAAATAGAGATGTATCATATTCATCAACAGGAAGACGGTGTTATAAAAATACCAGTTTTCTTCAGATTGACTTACAGATTTAATTAAATTCCAATGAAAACTCCAATAAGATTTGTCATAGTATTTGATAAGATGAAGAGTCAAGACACTTTTGAGGCAGAAAAGCAGGAATAGGGACTTAATGTGTAGGAATTAAGATATGCAGCATTGGTATATGATTAGACAAAATGATCAGTGGAAGACAGAGTTCAGAAAGACATCTGCACACATACATTACTTTTCTATCTGACAGAGATTTGTCTTTCAGTGAGAAAAATACTATTCAGGGAATAAAATTGGTTATTCAGAGGTAATATAGGAAACTGTGTTCCTGTTTTACTCTACATACACAAATCCAGTAAAAGAGGATACATGGTTGCTAAACACGTGAAGAGATATTAAAAAATCAGCGTGAGATACCATTTTATAACATGCAGTTGACAGAAACTATAGTTGTGAATCCAGAGTGTTCTGCGTTGCTGGTGGCAGTGTTAATTGGTATAACACATAGCGAGGAAAAAGGTTTAGCGTTACCAGAGTTGAATGTTTACATACACCAAGACTTGGAATTTCTGGGAGCAATTCTTACATATGTACAGCTGGAAACATGTAAATCCCGAAAGATTACATCCATATAGCATGATACTATCTTTTTTAAGTTTTAATAACTAAATATGTACTTTTAAAGACTATATATAAGTACGATAAAAACTATACAAAAAGGAAAGGG